TTCATCACAGAGGGTGTGAGATTCATGTGCTCATTCTGGGACCCAATAGGAATATTTTTTCACATTACAAAATAACCACACAAAGGGTGCATCTATACTGCAGTAGGTTTTTTTGGAAAAACAACTGTTTTTCCAAAAAATCTTCACTCATGTCCACACTGCTATTGCGTTCTTTTGAAAGAAAATCAAAAGAACGCAGGGGTTTTTCCAACATTGGTAAACCTCAATCTATGAGGAAGAACGCCTTTTCTGAAAGAGCTCTTTTGGGGAAAAAAGGCGTGTGTGGATGCTAAAGAGAGAGATTTTTCAAAAGAAGGGGAAAGAGGAAAAAACACTGGTGCCCTGGTGGCCACTCCGTCCATAGTAATCACAGCTTAAATGCGAGACAGCATCCATTCAGTGTGGACGCTATCTTTCGAAAAAGCAGATTGCTTTTTCAATGCACTTTGGCAGTGTGGACGCTCTCATTCGGAAGAAGTTTTTTCAGAAGATCTCTTTCCAAAAAGCTTCTTCTGAAAGAAGCCTGCAATCTAGATGTACCCTGAGAAAGACCCAAAACTAGATTAGGAGAAGTGTTTCTAGTACAGAGCCTGGAAGGCCTAGCAAGGGGTGATGCAGGTCAGGATTGGTGCACTGGCAAATTCCTGGGATAAGATGACATATAAAGGCTTGTAGGTTAATAGCAAAACCTAAAATAAATCTGATGTCTTCCTGACAGCCAGTATAAGAACTTAATTTCAGAGAAGTGTCTTGATTAGATTTAACTGAATTAGCCTGTGACCCCTCCCCTGAGCTGTTGCTGATAAGTCATTTTACTCTTGCATTGAGACCTGTGGGTTAAGAATATAAGAGGACAGACAATGTTTTAAGGCCTGCTCTATTATATCAGCGCTACTCAGCTGCCTTCAGAGGGCTTAGAATGGTGACCTTAAAATTTTGTCTGCTCATATTCCTAACCTTACCCTCTCATATCTAATTTAGCTGTGTACATGTTTTATTGGGTTGATCAGGCCACGACAGTTTTGCAAGTTAAGGATGAGTATAAGCTTTGTAATAATATGGCTTTTGAGAAGAACTTCCACGGAAATCTGGGAGTTATTTTTTATGAATAGCAAAAGTATTCTTTAGTCCAAAAACTGCACAGTGTACTCTTCAACACAACAAAGCCTTTGTATGAGCCTGCTTCCCTTAAACACTGAAGTCATTTAACCATTTAACCTTAGGTCAAACGTAACATTCAGAATTCAGTGCCTCAGTTTGTTCCATTCTGGAACACTCATCAACAAAAGTATATGGATGGTTTAGAAAATCTTTCCCCACCTTTCTCAATGCTTGTCAGATATAATTTATGAGGCATACTCATCTGACAAAATCATTTTGCTGGGGAAAGGCACAAATCGCTCTGTTTGCAGTACATTGTGTTGCCAAGTACAAAGTGCTCTAAAAACAGCACTTTAGGTATCAAGTGCTAACAAAGCAAAAATATTGCTGCCTCTGTACTTGATTTACATTAGGATACAAAATACAAAGACCCAAGGGTGTAATGATTGTCCTTTCAAGGGGTGTTTTAAATCAATTTCTAATCACATTTGGAAAAAAGGTTCTCTGTAGTGCCAAAGAAATACTCAGATAAATTCCAGATTTTTCTGAATAAGAAGTGTACATATCTTGGAAAACTGAAAGGTAAGTTAGAATAGTGAAAACATTTACTGTAAAAGCACCTGAAGCAGAGATGCTAAAGATCTGTAGTTCATCACAACCTTCCCTGTATTAGTCACCAGGGATATAGTTTTCTAAAATACCTAACTGCCTGTTTTCTAAAGTGCCTAAGTCACTTAGGAGCCTAAATCTTTTTGCAAATTGATGGGACTTTTGAAAATCAATTTTGGTTCATTTGAAAATGGAAGTTAGGCCCCCGGGTCACTTCAGTGCTTTTGAAAATCTTGCCCATTGTCTATAGTTGAGGAGAGTGAATTATGAAGAATGTTGTACAGGCAGGAGTGATTGCCTGAAGAACTGAAAAGAACATTGTTAATTTGTATCTGCTTAATTTAATATTTATTAAAGACCGCGCATTCCAACAGCAAGACATTTTCCTGGTCAATTGTTATCTTTTGTAATTCAAACTGACAGTGGAGCTAATCTTTGCTCAGCTAGCTCTCTGGATATCTTGGGCAATTAATATTAGTAAGCTTGCCTTTATAATTATTAGACCAGGAGCCAGATCTCCCCTTTGACCAAAGTGGACTGATGTAACAGCAGAGCCCCTTCCCACCTGGCATGACAGATGGGTGGTTGGGCCAATTCTGAGTACCGTAAATTAGCGTATATAATCCGCAGGTTATACACATTTTTACAAACACACACACACACACGCAGGATATACATGTCCACAGGATATACATGTTTATTTTTACTCACGGGACCTGGGGGCTCTCCGTTCCCCCGCCCAGAGGAGGGTGGGTTGTGCCTTGCTGTGGCTGCATGGGGCCTGGGGGTGAGTGTGGCTCCCCTCCTGCAGGCCAGCCAGAGCGCCTGTGCTGTGCTCTCCGTTCCCCCGCCCGGAGGAGGGTGGATTGTGCCTGGCTGTGGCTGCGCAGGGCCTGGGCGTCAGTGTGGTGAATGTGGTGAGTGGATGAATGACCTGCAGGGTATTCATGTCTGCAGGTAATCTAAGGGTTCTTTTACACAAAAAAGAAAAGCCGTGGGTTATACACAGATGCGTGTTATACATGGATGCAGGTTATATTCGCTAAACTACGTTAAGTGACATTGTAACCTGGCACACAGGATCAAAACATCATTTACATTTGGCCCTGTCACTTTCATCAGAGTGAGTGGCATTACAATCTGGCTCATGAATCACAATGTCATTCAAATTTGAGGAGGCCAGGCAAGTAACCTGGGCTCAGGCAGGTAATCTGGATCTTCCCTTCCTAGCAAAATTCTGAGCAGAGGCCTCCTTTTTATACAAAGAGGTATTCTTTTCAAACAGGCTGCCTTTCTGCAGACACAAGTTGTAATTGCAGAATGGATGTGAGTGCAAATCAGAATACTTGGTTCTTCTGCTACCTGATTTCTGCTCTCCATCAGGTAGTTGGAGTAGCTGGTCCTCATATTTACATGAACAACCCAGTTGCAAGAATAAAGCTGCCTTTTTGGGAAAATGGATTCAAAGCATCTGGGACAGTACTTGTGGCCTGAGCCAAAGCTCACTGAATTCAATAAAAAGATTTCTATTGACTTCAAAGGACTTGGAATCAGACCCTTGGATACTACAGTGATAGGAGCAATAGAACAACATCTGAGGACAAATGGAGTCTCTCCTTTGTAAAGCACTTGCACCTTTCCCAGGTGTAAGACCAAAGTTAGCAAACGCTGGGACAAACTTTCAAAGGCATTGACAAAAACTTAGCCTCACAATTCTTCCTATTCTTACTGAAGCGGTGCTCCTTTGGCCACATTCTTAGTTCTTACTGAGTCCTCAGACATGCAAAACGCCGCTAAATTGAAGACCAGCTTGCTTGATCAAGGACTGATGTCTTGAGGATGCGACCGTTTATTTTCAATGTACCATGATGGAAATATACTCCATGCAGTCTTTGCCTTTCCCAGCCCACATTCATAGAAGTGCCCCGTGTGACCTCTGTATGTTAATGTTTTCTTAAAGGAAGGATTTCTCATTAAAGGTTTGGCATTCCTTTAACTATGCAGATTGCCTGTCCAGGTCTATCACCACCTGGATCCTGTGCTTGAAGCACTGCAGCCAATTTATGACTACTCTTTTAAACAGATGGGCATGATTAAAAAGAGCCAAGAGGCCCTCTGTGAGCATCCATGTGGTCACTGTCAAAAGGATTATCAGCCAGGAGCAAAGCAGTAGATATCCATGGGCTGTTTGTGGACTTAAATCTATCTCATAGACCTGGAAGGGACCTGAGAGGTCATCAAATCCAGGCCCCTGCTCTCACGGGGAAGACTAAGTACTATCCCTGACAGATTTGCCCCAGATCCCTAAATGGTCCCCTGAAGGCGTGAACTCCTAATCCTGGGTTTAAGCAGGCTAATGCTCAAACCACTGAGCTATCCCTCCCCTGACAAATAGGAAGAGTCTTCATCACCAAGCTAGTTGTGTGAGAGTTAACTTTCCAAAAGAACAAAATGCCTTTTATGACCTCTTAATAACTGTTGTGGTTTGAGCAAAACATGATTAGATATTTGAGCAATGTAGATGGTCATTGTTAAGTTCCCTTTGATAAACTATGGTAACTGGGATGTGGAGCCAAATTCATCCCTGGGGTCATTCTGCTGACTTTAATGGAGTTAAAGGCATTCTTCCACGGTTGACAAAACTGCCGCATTCTTTCGATTTACTGTCGACAGAACGTGGCGGCAGTCTAGATGTAGGTAAAGATTTTTTGAAAAAAGGCCACTTTTTTTTCAAAAAATCCCTGTAGTCTAGACACACCCTTCCTCTTGAACAAAGATGATCATTGGCCTTTTAAAATTATAGATTGCATATATAGGACTACGATACTCTTAGAACTTGCTTGTAGCAGTTCTCTTCAATTTATCATAACATTACTCTTCTCCACTAATACAGAACTAGAGATCATCTGAGACAGCATGAAAATTCCATAAAGGGTAATTTGGCCACATCCATGGCTAACTAAAATCATGCGGAACCAGAAAGTGCTGGATGTTGCTGGACCAGAGAGTGCCAGTCTTGAAAGGTTCAACCCGTACAAGATTTTTGTAATTTTTTTAAAAGCCACATTGGATGATAGTTTCCCCTGCTGCCATTAAATTTACTTTAAACTTACAATAGTTGGTGTATAGCCTCATATATTGTACTATATTCTGCCATTCTTTTAAGCAAATTGTGTTATTTTTACTTAGTGTTTATTAGCATGGTTCCATTGTGCCTTTAAACAGACACATAAGCAAATGGGGGACTTTTCAACCAAGGTTCTTCAATCATGATTCTTCTTGCTTTGCAGGATCCTAAATATTTCAAGTCAGAGAAGACTGGGAGAGGCCTATTAAAAGAAGGCTGGAGAGAGACACACCAACCGATCATGTGCTCCTACAAACTGGTGACTGTGAAATTTGAAGTCTGGGGACTTCAAACTAGAGTAGAACAATTTGTACATAAGGTCAGTGAATTGCTATATGCCATTATCCAGCATTGGAGTAGGGCTAGAGTACAAGTGGAACTTGACCATTATCCTGACTCACACATGGAAATAAGAACAAGCTAGGAAACGACAAACCAGCCAGTTTAACTTCTGTGCCAGGAAAGCTAATGGAGCAAGTAATTAAGGAATTCATCTGCAAACACCTGGAAGATAGGTGATAGGTAACAGCCAGCATGGATTTGTAAAGAACAAATCATGTCAAACCAATCTGATAGCTTGCTTTGATAGGATAACAAGTCTTGTGGAAAAAGGAGAAGCAGTTACGTGGTTAGAATCAGATCCTAAATCTGAGAGTGGGCTGAGACTGAGTCTTTAGTAAAGCATTTGATACGGTCTCACATGATCTTCTTATCAATAAACTAGACAAATACAACTTAGATGGGGCTACTATAAGGTGGATACATAACTGGCTGGATAACCATTTTCAGAGAGTAGTTATTAATGGTTCAAAATCCTGCTGGAAAAGCATAACAAATGGGGCTCTACAGAGGTCTGCTTTGGGACCAGTTCTGTTCAATATCTTCATCAACGATTTAGACATTGGCATAGAGAGTACGCTTATTAAGTTTGCAGATTCTACCAAGCTGGGAGGGGTTGCAACTGTTTTGGAGGATAGGATCATAATTCAAAATGATCTGGACAAACTGGAGAAATGGTCTGAGGTAAATAGTATGAAGTTTAATAAGGACAAATGCAAAGTACTCCACTTAGGAAGTATGTATATAGAATGGGAAGTGACTATCTAGAAAGGAGTACTGCAGAAAGGGATCTAGGGGTCATAGTGGACCACAAGCTAAATATGAGCCAACAGTGTGACGCTGTTGCAAAAAAAGCAAATGTGATTCTGGGATGCATTAACAGGAGTGTTGTGAGCAAGACACAAGAAGTCAGTCTTCCACTCTACTCTGCACTGATCAGGCCTCAATTGGAATATTGAGTCCAATTCTGGGCACCACATTTCAAGAAAGATTTGGAGAAAGGTCCAAAGAAGAGCAACAAGAATGAATAAAGGTCTAGAGAACATGACCTATGAAGGAATTGGGCTTGTTTAATTTGGAAAGGAGACGACTGAGAGGGGACATAATAGTAGTTTTCTAAAGGGGTATCACAAGGAGAAGGGAGAAAAATTGTTCTCCTTGGCCTCTGAGGATAGAACAAGAAGCAATGGGCTTAAACTGCAGCAAGGGAGGTTTAGGTTGGACATTAGGAAAAACTTCCTGTCAGGGTGGTTAAACACTGGAATAAATTGCCTAGGGAGGTTGTGGAATCTCCATCCTGGAGATATTTAAGAGCAGGTTAGATAGACATCTATCAGGGATGGTCTAGACCAGGGCTATTCATGCGGCCCACAGCTGGTTTGGATTTGCGCGGAGTTCAGCAATGTTCTATGATTCTGTGAGTAGGATGAGAGATGGGTGTAAGCCAAGGAGTTCAGGTTTAGATCTGATTCCAAACCTCCCTAACATTTAAGAGCAATTGGTTCTGGGGATTTTCTTCTGTCAATTAAAGAGATGAAGCCCAGATGTAAAATTCATCTCTGGATACAGCCTTCCCAAAGGCTCAAATTGTTCATATCCAATGCTTAGTTACTCACCCATCTCTGAGTACAGCCAGCAATAACGTCTCCAGTACTGTGATCCAACATCCTTTCCCAAGAGACCTGCACTGCTGGTAAAATAATATTTGTGCCAGTGACAACAGCTTTATCGTGACAACTCTGAGCTGTTAGATGAATGCAAGACAACCTTTCTAGACTGAAATATTTCATTACTTGAAGCTTTGAAAGTCAGCATTGCGCTTTAACAGCAGTTCATGTAATGGTGCCATAATTAAACAACCGCAGGGGGTCTGACTCTGACCTCCCTCTCTCTGACTTTACACCATTGAGATGAGCATAGTTACTCCCAATTTACTGAAAGTGAGAGCAGAATGTGAGGCCAAATAATTACTTCATTTTGACAGTTCTATTGGCTTTAATGGTTATCTATCTGGATGCAGTAAAAGCTCATTAATTCTCATTATGCTAATCAGCCAATCTCATAATGCTAAGAACAAAAACCCTGGCAGTCTCAGCCCACTCTCAGATTTAGGATCTGATTCTAACCACTCACCGATGTAAATCAAAAGTGTTTCCTCTGAAGTAACCAGAGCTACACCAGTAAGAAACTAGTGTAAATGAGATCAGAATGGGGCCATTAGTGAAATATTAAGCCATCACTTAATGACAGTTTTCAGACAGCTGAGTTGGATTTACTTCACTAGTTGTATTTTCTGTTGCTTTTTGCACCATTCATCTGAGTGTGGCATGCTTAGCTCTTAAATGTATATTATTGTTCATTTTCACTGTATGTGATTCCTTCTTCTAAAACTCAGCTATATCAGTGCACATAGAGTTCGGAGATAACAAAGCCACAGTTGCGAACACTACTCCTATTCTAAGCTCTTAGAATTCAGTCCCTTTTTACTGAAAAATGCCTGAATATTTCATAAAGGTTTTGATTCATGCTTTTTGGACAGGGTTTTTTATATATACTCCTGCCAAAGTTTTGTATATTTTATTTCTCATCAAAGATTTAAAAAAACCCAATAATTAGAAATGAGTAACCTTCACAGAATAACAACATCAAGGTTATATTACAGCTCTCTCACGTGGTGGGGAAATTATCCATTCCTCTTGTTCACAGGGGAGCCAACAGCCTGGCAGGCTCCAGGACAATGTGGGGGGGCGGCCCTGCGCTCCCTGAAGGGGCAGGGTCTCGGGTGGAAGGGGCAGGACCAGGGCAGCCAGTCCTCCATGTTGCCCTGAGCATGGCTGCCCCCTACTCACCCCTTGGAGCCACTCAGACCATATAGCACGGCACACCAGCAGCAATTTAAAGGGCCCGGAGTTCTGTCTGTTGCCACAGCAAGTGCCTCATTTGCCCTCCCCTGTCAATGGCCCTGCTTGTCCAAATATTAATTTGTTAATGACGCAATCATCAAATTGTCTTTGGGTATTTTAATATCCAGACGTTGGTAGGATTTTGAAAGGTGATGGATTTCTTATAGGTGAAAAGAACTAACCGATTCCATTTTCATGTGGAAGGGAAAGAAGTTCCAGTCTACTTGCCCACAGATTAATATATTCATTGTACAGTTCCTGAATATCTCTAGATCAGTGTAGAATCTCAAAGTTCTGCTTGTTTATGTCCTTCCACCCTAGAAAGAGACAATGGGCACATCTAGACTGCATTCTAATTTCGAAAGAGGATATGCAATTTCTGCAGGAATTTGCATATCTTCTGATCACTTTTGAAGTAGTCTGGGCGCGAGGTTTTTTTTGGAAAATACTGTGTACAGATGTGGTCTCCTCACCTCCAAAAAGATATTTTGGCCTTGGAAAGGGTTCGGAAAAGGGCAACTAAAATGATTAGGGGTTTGGCACGGGTCCCATATGAAGAGAGGCTAAAGCGACTGGGACTTTTCAGTTTAGAAAAGAGGAGACTGAGGGGGGATATGATAGAGGTATATAAAATCATGAGTGGTGTGGAGAGAGGGCTGATAAAGAAAAGTTATTTATTAGTTCCCATAATAGAAGAACTAGTGGACACCAAATGAAATTTATGAGTAGCAGGGTTAAAACTAATAAAAGGAAGTTCTTCTTCACACAGCGTGTAGTCAACCTGTGGAACTCCTTGCCAGAGGAGGCTGTGAAGGCTAGAACTATAACAAAGTTTAAAGAGAAGCTAGATAATTTCATGGAGGGTAGGTCCATAAAAGGCTATTAGCCAGGGGATAGAAATGGTGTCTCTGTCCTCTGTTTGTCAGAGGCTGGAGATGGATGGCACGAGACAAATCGCTTGATCATTGTCTTCGGTCTACCCCATTTAGGGCACCTGGCGCTGGCCACTGTCGGCAGACAGGCTACTGGGCTAGATGGACCTTTGGTCTGACCCAGTATAGCCATTCTTATGTTCTTACACATATCTTCTTTCGATCACTTTTTTGAAAGCAGGTCTTTTGAAAGTGAAAGTAGTCTGGGAGCGGGTTTTTTTCGCAAAAAAAAACCTTTTTAAAAAAAAAATTCTTCCTAAAAATAGGAGGTTTACGTGGTTTTTCAAAAAAGGGGTTTTTTTTTCAAAAAAAAACGTATCCAGACTACTTTCATTTTTGAAAGACCTGTTTTCAAAAAAGCGATTGGAAGAAGATATGCAAATTCCCGGAGAATTTGCAAATCCTCTTTCGAAATTAGAATGTAGTCCAGACATGCCCCTAGATATTACTACTGTTTATTTTTCTATAATGTTTTGTGTCACATGCTACTTTTAACTTTTTTGTTCTCATTTCACAGGTGGTCAGAGATATATTAATGATTGGTCACCGACAAGCTTTTGCATGGGTTGATGAGTGGTATGGTAAGTCATCTTCACAAAATTAACTTACAAAATAGCCGGGGAAAGGACCTTATGGAAAACCCATTGAAATAAAGTGAAAGACTCCTATTGGTTTTACTGGACTTTAGATGAGGTCCTTATTTCATCCCCTCACTCTACATGTAAGATTATGCCACAACAGTCACTGGTGGGGAAGGTGCATCCAGGAGGTGGGAGCAGAATGTATGCTCCATGTAGCTTGCAGCATATGTCCCAGATCCAGACACTCCACATATTCAGCGATTTAGTCCTGTCCCATACAAGAATAATCTACATGAAGAACAAGTGCATGGGTTTGAATACAAGCCCATATTAACGCTGCTTTCATGACGCTAATGTGCAATCACCTCCAACCTGCAAGCTCTCAGGGCCTCAATCTGGCCCAAGTTATTTCCAAAAAAATTTCAACTTTTGTGGATAAGTTTTAAATTGCTAGTATAAAAATGTAATAAAACCCAGATGTAAAAGTTCCTGTTTAAAAAAACAAATATAAATATAATAGCTAAAGTTGAAAACCCACTGGGTCTGATTGAGCAATGCCTGCATACAACTCCCACAGAATCCATGCTTCAGCTGTAGGAATGGGCACTTGGAATTTTACTGGATTTTCAATATCAAAATAGTTGATAACATTTTATTGTACAATAAGCATGTAGGTTTTGTGCCTTTTACATGCTATTTCAATAAAGGTATGCATTATCCTAGATATTTGTATCAGTTTCTAAAACATTCCTGTAATATAAAATTGCAATTTAGAAATGTACAGGTTGAACCTCTCTAGTCCGGCACCCTTGGGACCTGATCAGTGCTGAACCAGAGAATTTGCTGAACCACAGGAGGTCAATATTGCTAGCAGCTTTACCAGCATACCCACTGCTTACTGGGCTCTTAGAAGAAATTTAGGGGTAAATTAGAGCTAAAAAACAGCACAGAACACTGAGAACCAGGACTGGTGGCTTTATACAAACTGTATGGGACCATGGGAAACTTGGCCATGCCCATGATAAGTGGACATCTCACTCAATAAAATCATGTTGGACCACAGATGTTGCTGGATCAGAGAGTGCCAGACTAGAGAGGTTCAACCTGTATTTTAAAGAGACAGAGATAGATAGAACCACCTTGAGGTGCATGGGAATACTGCCTTAAACTTTTCATGAACCTTGGGAGATTCTAAGACTTGGTCTACACTGAAAAGTTACATCAGCACAGCTACATCAGTCAGGCATGTCAAAAAGCCACACCCCAATCAGCATAGCCAGAGCTGTCCCAGCCATAGTATGATTTGGGACAACCGCTCCAAGCGCTGTGCTTTGGGGAGCCCCACAGGGTGGCTGAGGGATTTCTAGCGGGTGCCTGGTGCCAGCCCCAGCCCACCCCACATTGCTGTGTTTCCTGCTGCCAAGTGACACAACTGAGAGCCAGTGGAGTAGAACGTGCTGGGGCCTGGTTGCTCTGCTTCCTTCTGCCAACAATGAGCACTGGGGCAGGCCTCAGTACAGCACTCAGTGGAGTGTAGACAGCACTACAGCAGCAGGAGAGCTTCTCCTGTCAACATAGCTACAACCTCTCATAGAAGTGGAGTTATTAAACTGACAGGAGAGCTCTGTCCATCAGCTTAGAGCATTTTCACCAGACATGCTACAGCTGGACCAATGCAGTTATGCCAATATAAATGGGTAAGGTAGGCCTGCCTCTGGTCTACGCTAGAAAATTAAGTTGGCTTAACTACATTGCTCAGGGTGAAACTAGGTTAAGTTCACCTCACCCTCAATGTAGACAGCTTTTTGTTGGTGGAAGAATTTGACCTAGCTGCAGCCTCTTGGGAAGGTGGATTATCTCTGCCGATGGGAGAACCCCTCCAGTCAGCACAGGTAGTGTCTATACTAAAGCACTACATTCAGTTGCGACAGTATAGCTTTTCAAGTACAGGCAGTCCCCGGGTTACATGGATCCGACTTACATCGGATCCCTACTTACAAACGGGGTGAGGCAACCCCACACTAGCTGCTTCCCCCCAGCAGACCAGGGAGACGCGAAGCTAGCGTCCTCCCCCCCCAGCAGACCAGGCAGACGCGGAGCGGCTTTTCTCAGCATATGCCTCAGCTTGAGAATAAAGGACTGAGGGAAGTGAGGTGTGGGAGAATAAAACTGAGCTCTGGAGAAATGTTTGGCTAGAGTTTCCCCTACAGTATGTACCAGTTCCAACTTACATACAAATTCAACTTAAGAACAAACCTACAGTCCCTATCTTGTACGTAACCCAGGGACTGCCTGTATAGACAAGACCTAACTTCATTTGAGGAGGTGGTGTTCTAACCTTCTGTAAGCATAGGCTGTGTCTACACCATCAGGCTATACAAGCATAGCTATCTATGCCAGTACAGTTTCCATAATGTAGACATGATGCTTATCTTTCTTCAGTGCTCAGAAATAATCTGTAACCTCAAAGGCCCATTGCATATCCTCAGTTGTGTAAAGTGGCTCTTTTGACCTCAGTGAAAGTAGAGCTACTGATTATTAGAAAGTAGAGAAGAATTTCCTTTTCAAATCACAACTTAACTTATTGTACAGATTTGATAAAGCATGAGGATATAGGTACCATGGTGTAGTGGCCAGAAAATAATTGGCAGACTGAAACTGGATCTTTTATTTTTCCTCCTTTTAATTTAGCAACACTCATAAACTACTAAAAGGATTCTGCATTTTTAATCAAATGAGAATAAGCTTTACTTTCTCATATGGTGTATGTCCCACACCTCCACAGATCCTTATGCCATGATCAGTGGTTTTATTTGTCGTTTGCTTTTTGTTTTTTGTAAAAGTCACAGTATCTGTGTTCAGACAGTGTTCCCTAGCTACAAATGAGAATAACCATTTGCCAATATTAATTTAGTTTTTCTCACTTTCAGGTTTCTTCTCTAATAAAATTCATACTCTTTCATTTCCTTAAGCTGTGTTTTAAAGTGATCCCATGTGATATTTTTATCCCAGCTACGGTTATAGATAGATGATAGATATTGTTCCTTTAAGGATGTGATAGTATAAACATGTAAATGGTTAACCGATGGGACTTTTTTGCCAAGGAGAAGAATATAAATTTTTACATCAAAAAGACACCCATAGTGACACAGGAGATACAAAATATGATCCATGTCTTAATCTTCAAAAATGACAGCAGTGCGAAAGGGATTTGATAGACGATCAATCTAAATTTCTGTATAAGGGACTCAATGAAATCTATTCATGAAAAGGAGTAGGATTTCCCTTCCTGGAGCCACAGAATATGCCTGCTTAAGAAATAAGATTTTCTTGACAGATCATAAATGTATGCATTGGAGGATGAGTCCAGAAGAATGCATGCTAATGAAGATCCTATCCCTGAAATGCTACCAAGGTCATAGTTTATCTAGGTTACCAGCTGTTGTAGTAGGTGTTGAGGTCCTTCATTTTCCCTTAACATTTTCCAATGTTAGTTCTTCCCTAATAATCGTTGGCCTCTTCCCTTCTCCCCTCTTCCCCCGGCCTCCACCTCCATAGCACATGTACCTACAGGGTCCCACTGCACAACAAGAAACACAAGCTAACAGATACCAAGTGAATGTACATTACACAGGAGAGTCCCATCAAGCTGAAGAGTAAAAGAGTGGTTAAGCCATCATTTTAAAATTAAAGAGTTTGACCAAATTAATCCTTGGTGTAAATTTGTTGGAATCGGTGGTGTCACATCAGTGATGAATTTAGCTCATTACATTTACAAAGCTGAATTGAGTGAACAAAATCAAATTTTCTAATGTGAATTCACAATGGGACACAGAATTTGTTTATTAGTTTTGTTCTGAATGAGGATTCGCAGCTAGCTAAAATCCCAAGTCTTGACTTCCCATGAATGTTTATGTTTGTACCTTTAGATTTTTTTTTTCAGAACTCGTTTTATAGTTTTCTGGCAAAGAGTGCATGGAAATAAAGAACCATGCATCTAAATGAAAAGTGCTGGCTAAATCCATATTTATAATTAATGGTGGTATTTTATAGCACTGGGTCTAAATTTTCAAATGAATTGGTTTTCAGTCAAGAAATTTACATTCTCATACATTGTTAAAAAGAAGGGCAGACTCAAAATGAATAAACCATTGCAGCTGTGCTGAAAAAAGACACTATACCAATTTACTTACTATACTGTGGATCTGACAATAACTTACACATTTACTTTTTTCTCATTTCTTACCTGTAATGTGGTGCTCTGGTGGTTGACTTTTTCCCTAATATCAGCAGAAGGTAGTTGCATGCATCCATCAGACCAAAGATCTTTTGTCTATACTAGTTCTTTATCCCTAGCAAGAACACATCTATGTTACTTGTTTCTAAAGTGGAGAAGAACAACAGTGAGATATTTTCCAGTGGGTTGACTTTATGAGTTTTCCATATTCCAATCTTTTACTTACTTCTTTGAACTAGTCCAATTGTGTTCAGGTTTCTTATAAGATTTAATAATTTCCATAACAGTGTAGTTCAGTTTGCTTTTCATAAGCCCTAATTGATCTTTCTGCATGACTTGATGCACTAATCAAAGAACTAACAGAATAAAACATTAAGCAATAGAGTTGAATAAAGATAGAGCAGCCTGAATTCACACAAAAGTCAGGCCTAACAAATTGGATGGTATTCACTGAAGAGTGACACAAAAGAAATATCTGTAGGAGGCTGAGATTTACTTGGAAGTCAAGAAAGTGCATGATAAAATACCATACACATGAGTATTATATGAAGTCAGATGTGTGGAATAGGCAAGGAGATATCTGAGTCACAACGATGTTCTTTTGGAGGTCTGATAAAGAGTGCACTATCAAGAGAAGACAAGTCAGGAGGAAGAGGGACAACGCAAGAAGATTGCCACAAAAATTAAGATAAGTTGAATTCAATTGTGTAACAGTGACACAAAATAAGAAAGTACCCAAAAATAAGAGAGGGAATCAGCAAAC